TTATCACGTCATTGAGACATCTCAAAATGGTTCACAGGATTTACTGTACATCCTGTGTGGTGTCTTAGTTTCACTCACACTCACTCACACGCCAGTGGGCTATTCTCATCTCTGAGCTGTCCCCAGGCAGATCTCTGTAAAGATTACAAGGCGCTTCAGGTTTGTATGTTAGAGGGTGAAAGGAGGCTCCTCTCGGCACTTCAAAAAATATTCATTTTTTTTCTGGGCAGGGAATTCCATCCCTTTCGTATAGATTTAATGGTCTCGCCTCCAGACGTTGATCGATTAGTCGCAGTAGGTTGGGTTTAATCCCCGTGTGCTGTACCGTGAATTTGTCAGCTTCACTCAACCTTCCTTTCATTTTATGAGGATTCTGCTTCAGGACGCTCGCTTGCTCACTCACTCGCGGTAATCCCACCACATTTGATACAGAATCGAAAACATTTCTCCTGTGCTCAGATGCTATGTCTGGTTAACCCCACGAGGCCTGCAACAAGCCTTACATACAGTCTAGAGTGCGAGCTGTGTTCCTTTATCTCTCTCTCTCTCTTCCAGGTGTAATAATCCCCTAAAAAAAATGTGGTCACGACTGTGCGCAATTGGCTGCCGTGTTTCGCCCTCAAAATATACAGTTACTACACTTTACAGTATACTCTGTGAAACACTTTGAGACGTCAAGGCAGTGCTATATTAAATGCAAGGATTATTATTATTATAAATGCTTGTCCCAGAATTATACAGCGCAGAAGGAGGCCATTCGGCCGATCGTGTCTGTGCCAGCTCTTTGAAAAGAGCTTCCAAGTCAACCCCACTCTCCCGCGCTCTCCCCATAGCCCTGATCAACCCCACTCCCCATAGCCCTGATCAACCCCACTCCCCCGCTCTCTCCCCATAGCCCTGATCAACCCCACTCCCCCGCGCTCTCCCCATAGCCCTGATCAACCCCACTCCCCATAGCCCTGATCAACCCCACTCCCCCGCTCTCTCCCCATAGCCCTGATCAGCCCCACTCCCCCGCGCTCTCCCCATAGCCCTGCAAACTTGTCCTCCCCAAATAATTATCTACTTCTCTCTTAAAAGTTGTTATCGAATCGGCTTCCACCGGCCTTTCAAGCAATGTTCAATAATAATTTTAAAAATCCTTAAACTGACATGAAGGACTAAATGAATCAGGTTCTATTCGGGGATTCACAATGCTCTCATATAGATGTCCATTCGAGAGGCTTTCCTCTGCTTAATGGTAATGGCTTTGGCAGCAGTTGTTGATTTGCTGAGTGGGAGAGCCAAGTAGCTAAATGGATTAGCTGCTGGCAGCCTCAGGCCAGTTGATTTAGATTAGAAGATGCAGTGGGTGTGTGTGTCCCATTTCGTCTGTTGCTTTGCCTTTGTACTCATTTCTCCTCGAAGCACCAGAACTCACTGCTTAGCATCCCCGGAGCTCAGCCCTGCGCCGCTGTATTCTATGCGGGATTTCAGCTTCTACATCTTCCTTAAAACCTCCACTGTCCCGGCAACCACAGCTGTGTGAGGCACTCTCGGTTCCACATAACTTCAGTGTGACGTCAACTGATTTAACTCTGGGACGCCGCCCGGCGTGGAGGGCGCTATATAAATGCAAGTTGTTGTTGTTATAATAATCCTAAATCAATTCACTGAAGCAAATACCGTCTCAAAGCGTTTTACAGGATTTTTTGACGTAAAGTGGGGAGATTGTGTTTCTGTAGCAGATTGAGGCAGTCTATAATAATAATAATAATCCTTGCATTTGATCATTTACACCCAGCAATATCCCACAAACAGCCATGAAATGAATGAACAATTGAATCTGGGGGATTGTTGGCCAGGACACCGGGAGAGAGAGAAACTTCCTTCTCTTTTCAAACAGTGCCATGGGATCTTTAATGGCCAGCAGAGCAGACAGATGGGTCCTTGGTTTAACATCTTGCCCGAAGAACAGCACCTCTGACAATGCAATCAGCTCCCAGCACTGTATTGGAGTGTCAGCCTAGACTATGTGAGTTCAAATTCCCAATGTGGGATTCGAACCCACAGCCTTCCATCTCAGAAGCGAGAGTGCTACCGCTGAGCCAAACTGACACCTGAAACATAGCAATAACTTTCTAAACTGCTAACTTCTGAAAAGAAGGAGTCAGGGCTTTTGAGCCAATCTGTAATAAAATAGTATTCACGCTTTCCTTGCTTGCAAATCTCTCGTCATCCCGCAAACAAATTAATTGGCAAAGGAGCTCCCAAACTAGCCATGCTCAACCACATTTTTAAATATATCCCTTTTATGTTTTAATTGCAAGTTTTGTAATATGTTGTGGTAAACTGGGACATTTCTGATGAAGTTACGGTTCATTAAATATCATCTGGGAATACGGAGGAACACATTGCAGATTTGCCTTTAACCTTTATCCCACTGACAGATGTGAGCAGGTAAGATGAGTGCTTCACAACTGTTTGCAGTTTGTTCTCCTTCCCCAGCAATCCCCACCTTCCCTCCCACTGAAGTTAATAATAATAATAATAATCCTTGCATTTGATATCTCTCGGTGAGATGTCTCAAAGCCTTATCACCATCTTGAAGAGGCTGGTGGCTTCAAGCCCGTGGAGCGATGCAAGACTGGAATAGGCACAAAGGGTCGACCTCATCTCACGGGAATGATGGGGTGGGGGGAATGTCTTGAGTGAGACCAGTCATCAGGAGTGCCAACGGGCTTTCTAGTGAAATGTTAACGTGGCTTTGCTTCTGCCAATCATCCTGCTGTGTGCTCCCAGCATTAAAGCCATTTCTTTTTTGGCCCGTTCTGGAATTTTTGCTTAAGAGCCTTGGCCAACGATGGCCAAACAGCAGAACTGGAGCTTAGTTCCATGTTAAGACTTTGAGGTAACTCTGTCTAGCTGCTTGCTCAAGACAAGAAAGGCGTTTCAATAAACCTTTTTGCTCTTCTTAGAATATGAGCTGGATAAAAGCCAGACCACAGTGCAGCCCTGTGTACGTCTGAGAGAGCCTCGGAGACTGCAAATAGCCTGTTCACATAGCCTCTGCACGCACAGTGTGTCTTTAAAGGAAATCCCCAGGGCTCCTACATTTCCCTTTGATTTGCAGACGCTCCTCAGATATCTGGTCCTGGGCACAAAGTCATTTTTTTCTTATCGAGTTTATTGGCATTGTTTCTTGAAGAACACATTTCAAAGGGAATTTTTTTACATGAGTGATCTGATGTTAATTGGAAGATCAGTCGTGGCTTTTTCTCACTACACCAGGTCAGGCTCACGGAACCACGCAGCAGCCTGAATTGAATTGATTGTATATTTTGTCAGTATATTTTGACTGTATATTTTGCGGGCCAATGTAGCCTTTGACCAGAGCAGGATAAACCCTCAATATAAAAAGGGTCAGATTCTACGGACATTGTGCAAGCCAGAGTCAGCACACACACACACACACACACACACACTGTTGTCTGATCTGTTGCTGGTTGCTAATCCGGGTGAATTAGCTCCTAGTGTTGGAGAACGAGGGCTTTCCTTCTGCTTTGATCGCAGCCCATGTGTCGCTTTCATATTACATCCGCGCAGAAGTACTGAATCACTTTTTCTGACAGTTTCACAGTCCAGTGGATTTCACAGTCCAGCACTTTTCATCTGCACAGAGCTGAGATTTTACAGCTGTTGTCGGTGTCTGCGACAGGCTGATCCAACATTGATTTTGGCATTTCCAAGCAGTTTAGGAACATGTGCTTTCAGAGGTATTTTTTACACGCACATAGAAAGAACTCTGCTTTTAACGTCATCAGGAACCAGGGAATCAGAAATCGCTCTTGACTGCAATGAGAGGTATGAGATGTGCTCTCAGGTTATCTAACCCCAACTCGCTCTAAATCAGTGTCAGTGCTCACCGTCAATACCTCTCTGTCATCTTAGCTGAAGAAGTTAACATGGAAAAACAGTAATTTGGGGATTATTTGAGAAAGGATTTTACTCTCCCTAATTGTGGCCCTGACTGCTGCCTTGCTTGAGTTAAGCTACTCACTACCAAACATGATTTGAAGCTGCAATCATGTGTGGTCCAGTTCTGCACTCGAGAATTCCCTTGCACACACGGCTTGTCATCTACAAATACAGTCAGTACACTTTACAGAAAATCCTGTTCAAATGCTTTGAGATGTCCTGACAATGTGCGGTAACAGTTGCAAATGTTATTATCTGTTTAATTATATTTATTTACTCGTCTCGTGTGTGGACACTTGACAGTGCAATTAAGAATTTGTTGAGTTTGTGTTGAAAACCAACCGAGAAGCAGTGTGTCAGCCAGAAATTTCCCTGTGTGGATGCAATGCGACTCTCCCTGGAGGGACATAACCTAATGCAAGAGAGCATTAGTCACAGGTTGCCAAAACTTGGAAAGCCCAGAGTGTGTGTTGGGGTAACTGTTGGAGTCTGACCAGCTAAAACCACGCAGCTTGTCGTTGAGAGCACTGTCTGACAAGCTTCCTGCTGCTTGTCCAGCTAGGACCACCTTTAGGGCTTTGGCTTGTAGGGTTAGTGGGAGCTGAGTGAGGACAATCCTTGTCCACGGGGAGCCAAAGCTCTAATCCCCTGGCGGGTGAGGAATGGCTTTTGGATGGGGTTGTGGAGGCAGATGGCGGGGGGAATCTGTGGTGTCAGGAGGGGAGGGGAGAAAATTGGGTTAAACCAGGGAGAGGCTGTAAATAGTGTATTTGAGCTGTGTAAAACCCTGAGCAAATGTAAAAAAAAAACCTGATTATTTTGTGAAATGTTCTAATCACACCTGAGGGCTGAGGGAACCAGTGACGTGCTGTGATTGCTGTGGTCTGAGGAGATGCTCCACACGCTCGGAGACTCTGCCCCCGCATTGAAGGGCAATAAATAAATGCCAGTTGTTGTTGTTATTGTTGATACGGTGAAATACTCACTGTGCCCAGACTCGGCATTAACCCTTTGTGTTTCTGCCTCTCTCTCTCGGCCTGCAGGTTGTAATCCGCGGGGAGCTGGAGGCAGACGATACCCAGGAACTGATTCGATGCGTCAACTCTCACTATTCACCGAACAAGGTAGGACACAGACAGCAAGTCAGCTGCAGGACATGGGGAAACTGAAACAGGTTCAGTGTGTATGTGTATGTGTGTGTTTGTGGGGTGGGGGTGTGAGGGAGGAGGGTGTGGGGCGAGTGGGGGTTTGTAGGAGAGGAGTTCAGTACAGAGGTTCTCAGCTGGTCGAATGCCTCTCATCACCCGCCCCATGTTCAGATCACAGCTCTCAGCAGGCCACAAGAAGCTATAGCCCCTGTCTGGATCTGGTATGATTGTTTATCAGGGGATGGTTCACAGCTTAAACCCTCCCAACGCAAGAGGAACTAGCGTCGATCTGCTGCAGACTTGCTGTGTAGGCTTCCTGCTGGCCATAGTAGACCGCCGTGCCTTTGTTCGGGAAGATGCGATCACCTCTGGGATGTGTGACACGAGCCATGTGTTCAGGCCGGTTGTTACGTTGGGATCCTGGGAAGAGGTGGCGTTTAAAACGCCTGTTGTAAACGCTTCAGGCGAAGCGAGCGGTCAAACCACTAAGCTACAGGACTCCCTTTAATAATACAAACGCATTGTGAAATTGCTCTAAACTCGCAAGCACTGAGCAGATACAGATATCTGACCTGCCGATTTGTCAGTAATGGCTGCTCAGTGAAGCTTGTACAAATATCACAACAGCTCATTAATCAATGCAGCCCATTTCCTCCTAAGTCTTCGATCCGAAGCGACACAGACACACATTTATATCAAAATACATCTTGTCACGTTAGTAGGTTAAACAAATTATTTGATGGTTTAGGAACGGTTTGTGTCAGTCTCGGGCTTTCTTGCAAACATCCATACTTGAAAGGCTTGTTACGTAACCATATACAGGAAGGCTGTCTGTCACACCAGGAATCAGCATCGCAACACAAATGGATGTGGGGCACTGGTTACAAATAAATCATTTTAAAGCCTCTTTTGTTCTAAGTTGAACATAAATGGGGATTTCTGCTTGTTCTGCGCTGCTTTTGCACCTCCCTGTCCTGACCGAAAATCCTCCAGGTAAATCGGTCATTCACTTCCTGGCTGTTTAGAGGACAAAAAATAGCTGCTGTGTTGGCCTACAAAAACAGTTACTACACTTCACAGTAATCATTTCACAAAAAACACTTGTTTGACGTTATAAGCGCAAGAAGCATACAAACCCTTTCTTTACAAAATGAAGCCATAAGTCAGGTTGGAGAGATGATCAATGTATTGATCTCTTCATCTCCAGTCTGTTTCTTATCATTATTTACCATCGATCTCTTCCCCCCACCCCCAGCTCCCCAATAGCTATTGTTCCCTTGTGAGCGCAGACAGTGTGGACAGGCTGTCACACACACAGGGACTCATCTTCTTCTCAGTTCCTGAGACTGACTAAGGATGAGGTACAATGTTTAAATGTCCGGGAGCCTTTTAACATTGTTCAGGAATGTGCTGATCTGAACACTGTCCACTCCGCTGGCTCCAGCCTCCTGCTTGTCCCTCATCCCCTCCACCCCACCATCGGCGGCCGTGCTTTCAGCCACGACACCCCGAAGCTTTCCCTCATTTCCTCCGCCTCGCCTTCTGCTTCCCCATTTTCAGATCACGCCCCAAGACCTTCTTCTTTGGCTGCGCTTACAGTCACCTCCTCCCTCGCCCCGGCTCGGGGTCGAGCTCCGCCACTGTTAAGCGCTCCGGGACGCTGCCCTGCCGTGAAAGGGAGGGCTGTATCAATGCAAGTTGTTGTTGGTGGTGTTGTTCTTCTGTCACCATCTTGTGCGAAGTTATTGCAGCCAGAAGGAGCTGGCGTTATGCGTGTGCGCACGTGTGTGTGTGAATGTGTGCGTGTGCATGTGTGCGTGTGTGTATGAAGGCTGTGGTATGTGCCTGGTTGCCGTGGCGTCTCTTCCCTGTGTTTGGCTCCCCGGTGGGTGATACCCAACACTTATCATCAATCACTCGGCTCTGTCTTCATTAGGTTCGTGCGCTGACAGGTTACAGTATTGATGGCGGCCAATTCCGCAGCTGGATTCAGCAGCTTACATCAGCGAAGAGGTTACTGTGGAGCTCTGCGTGTGCGCGGCTGTCACAGGCTGCCCCAGACAGGGGCTCGGATCTGTCTCTCTTGTCAGGTTAGGTTGGGAAAGGCAGCTGGTCGGGTGTAATTAATGCCACGTTGATCGTACAGTGATTGAACCCTCGGAGTGGGTTTGAGACATTCCAACTGTTCTGGCGTTGATATTTGTCAAAAATATATAGATAGATTTCCATATTTTTTTTAGAAAAATACAAACTCGGGCTCTTTAGTCTTGATAGGAGACAACTCAGAGATTTTAAATGGAATTGAACAATCCTTTTGAGATGCCCCCAAGACAGTTGAAGAGGACCTTGGTTCACAGTTGTAAAGGGCAATTTTAAGCCCAGTTGCGAGGAGAGTAATTAAGAAATAATAATAATGGTAATAATAATAATAATAACAATCCTTGCATTTGATGCAGCGCCTCATCACGTCTTCGAGACGTCTCTAAGCGCTTCACATAGTACACTGTAAAGTGAACTGACTGGACATTTTGTGGGCGAAACGCGGCAGCCAATTGCGCACAGCAGTCTTCTTCGCTGAGGCTGCAAAGATTATTGTTAGTTACAGCGCGCTCTCTCTCTCTCTCTCTCTCTCTCTCTGAAGCCAAGAATGCGCCCAATGGCCGCGGGGCTGTATAAATCCATGCAATGCGAAATTCAAGTCATGAATATGGAAAAGTTGTACATGTGAAGGTTTGGCGAGACATGACTGCGTTTGTAGCAGATTTCGCTGTCAGATACACTGGTACTTATATCTTGTTAATAGTCAGCTCCAGCTTCCCCCGTTTCCTCGCATCTCACAGCCCCGCAGTTTGATCTGCAGAACATTCAAAGCCTGGAGAAATTCAGCGTTGCGTTACTTTAGGAAAGTAGTTCAGACACTCGGTGCTTGTAGCTGTAAACAAAGCGACGGTGTTTCAAGGCTCTAATCGAGGATATGGGTTGACGAGATTCAGTGCTAATGGAGGTCGTTGAGAGAATGAGACGTTGAGATTCTTTGAATTTTTATCTGCGGTACCACACTCAAGAGAACTAAATCCGAGTCGCGAAAGTACCTGGAAATCTCTATCCAGTTCCCAAAGGTAAATCAAGCAAACCTTTACACGATAATAATCCTTACATTTGATACAGCGCCTTATCACGCCTTCGAGACGTCTACCTCCCAGAGATACAACCGTTGGCTCTGCTCTGGCTTCTCCTGCCCCGCGGCAGGGGTTAATCTGGGGCGAAGAGAGAGTTTCCTTCCGCGCGCTTCCCCTCACGCTGGATCCCGGCTCTTGCCGTTCGTGCGATGGTGCAATCTGTCAGGCGGTTAATTAGGAGTGACAAGTTAATTACAGCAGCAATGGCTCCTCCCCACCACCACCACCACCCCCCCCCGCCAGCCTGTTGCCGAGCTCTGCTAATTACAGCCGCAGTGGGGGAGGAGGAGTGGGGTGGGGGGGATTGCACTTGATATAATAAACCAAAGTGCTGCCTGCCAAATCCCGAAACAACCTCGCAAGCTGTGTTAGGAAAGGTATCTTTTAACGTGACACATCTCTCACTCCAACGTGCCAAAGATGTACGTAAGGTTCACTTGTGGTGAAATCTGTCTCTCTAATCTTACCCCTTCCAATTTTTCCCTCACCCCCCCCCCCCCCTCCCACTCTGGAAAAAAAAGATCTGGCTTGTGCTTGTGTCTGGTTCTGAGGGAGCCGGTGGCTGCTCTGAGCCTGATCCTGTACAACGACAGCCTGCATTTACACAGCGACCCTAATTCGGGGCAGTGTCCCAGAGCGCTCGACAGTGATGGGGCATGACTCCCGAGCCAGGGGGAGAGGAGAGGTGACCGGAAGATGGGGAAGGAAGGGGCGAGGCGGAGGGATTGAGGAAGAGCGTTCCCAGAGTTTCAGGGCGCAGTGGCTGAAAGCGCAGCCCGTCTGCACCCACACTTCCTGAGAGAATTGTTGAGCCCCCACTTGCCAGTCCAGCCAAGATCAACAAAGCTCCTCAAGATCCAGGGAGTGAACCTGAGAGCAGCTGAGATTTGTGGCTCAGTGGCCAACACTCTTCCCAACCGACCCAACAGAGTGCTGGAGTTCTGCCTGCGAAATCTAAATGCGAATAGCAATGATTTGATAGCTGTCATGGGCATGTTCGAGTCATCCCAGTATTTTCTGCCTTTATCTCTTTACTTAAGCCTCTATCATCTTACTCCCCCACCCCTCTGCTCTCTCCCCTCTCCCCCCTTCCTCTTTCCCCCCTCTCCTCTATTGCTGCCTCCCTATTTCCCCTCTCTACTCTCCCCCACCTCTCCTCTCCACCTACTATTTTAATCCAATTATTTCTCAATATATTTACATTTTTGCCTGTTTCCTTTTTGTCCAGTACTGTTTGTACTTGCCCTGGCTTGGCACTGGCTGCCTGTCCCAATGTTCCAGGAGGAACAAAGTGAAATAAACACACTGAGGTTTATTCTCCCTTTCTTATGCAATTTCCCACTTATATATAATAAGCACATGTCGAAAGATCCACAACACAGAGCGAGCGAGAGAGCGAGCGAGTGAGCTCAGTGATGCCCAGTGTGGTTTTTGCCTTTGTGCAACGGCTGCTAAGACATTCCAGTGTTTTCTGAGAAGAAGCATTAACTCAGCATTCATTCCAGAAACTGTTGGGTTGAGGAAAGTCCAGAGCAATGCAGTAGAGTTTGGGGCTTGCAGTGAACGTGAGAGAGAGAGAGAGAGAGAGATTAGTGAGATTGTTAAACAGTTTGGGGGATTTCAATTGCTCTGTCTCGTGCTTTTTCTTTTTATGTGTATATTGTTTTGAACACTCACTCGCAGATACGACATTAAGCCAATTACAGTTTTGTAAACTGTTTACACATGCGGAATTTTGTGGGCTTGTTTTCATCCTCTACTTGGTTTTGCTTTGTTTAGGCTTGGAGTGCAGTTGGG